ATATATGCCGTGTGTGTGTGTTTGTGTGCATTGTATTATCATATTATTATAAATATATAGAAGCGTGTATGTGCCTTTTCTGTGTTTGTTTCTGTGTTTCTATATCACGTATATGCATATTATATATATATATATATATATATGTGTGTGTGTGTTGTGTGTGCGTGTGTATTTTTTTATGCATATCTTCATGTAGAATTCCATGGCTATGTGTACATATCCATGTATTCAAGAAACCTGTCAGTTGAGTTGCAAGGGCTTGCAATAAATAACCGCAAATGAATCGATGATTTTAATTCTGTTCACCCGGTAACCGATGAAGGCTTATTGATCATTTATGATGGTATTTCTTTGTGGCAGGCGACATTTGATAGCCCTCTGGACTGTGTAGAGTGGTACGATGACGACGATGGTGTCATCGCGACGTCGACCCTGGATATGGACATTCTCACAAACAGCTTCACCTTTGTTGAGAAAGCCGGGCCCCGCCAAAAACTGTTCTTTGACCCTAAAAACACGCGCGTGGGTGTGGTCACATGTGGCGGTCTGTGTCCGGGGCTCAATAACGTTATACGTGCGCTTGTCATGTGCTTGTGGCACCGGTATGGCATCCGTAGCATAACTGGATTCAAGTACGGGTATGAGGGCTTGAACCCGGAGACATCTCAGGAGATTGATCTCAATCCCAAGGTATGCATGACCATGCTGGTCTGACAGAACTCAGAGGAATCACTGTTTGAAAAGGTGCCAAAAAGTGTTAGTAGCTTACTCGCATTTTGCTGTAATTGACAGGCATCAGTAAGATACGCGGGTTTTAAAGTCTAGCAGTCGTGAGTTCGATATGAAATTACACATGGTAGAATGCGCAGGCAGCGGGAGGGTAGGGGTCTACAAGATTACTTTTCACAAGGTGTTCCATATCAATCTCCATTCCAATTATATTCTATTGTGGACATTTCTGAAGGAAGAATGACTTGATACGGTCAAATGCTACCGCAGGTGTCCTGTGATATTCACCCCATGTATATACGACCCTTCGACTTTGCTTACTAAAACAAATTTTGACAATGCAATGTACCCTATTTCACCAGCGAGTAGCGGAAGTTCACCGATTTGGAGGCACATTGCTTGGTAGCTCGCGAGGAGGCCAATCCGTCAGCACCATGGTCGATTTCCTGCAGGATAAGAAAATTGACATCCTCTTCACCATCGGCGGTGACGGTACACAGAAGGGCGCCGATGCCATCTCCAACGAATGCGAGAAGCGTGGTATGTGTGACGTTACAGATATTCATATCAAGTGGACCCATACCTAGAGCCATGCAACATCCTTATGTCCACTCCCGCGTGTTTGGTGAGATGTTGTACTTCTGAGCTCTTTCACACCATATACAGGCGTCCCTATCGCGTGCATCGGAGTGCCCAAAACCATCGACAACGATGTTGCCTTTGTCGAGCGAACATTCGGGTTCGAGACCGCCGTCGAATTGGCCCAAGCGTCTATACAGGCTGCGCACGAGGAGGCTCGTGGAGCACGCAATGGTATCGGAATCGTCAAGCTGATGGGGCGGGATAGCGGTTTCATCGCGCTGCATGCGTCTCTGGCGAATTGTGATACGAACATCTGCCTGCTTCCTGAAACTCCCTTTAAGATCTCGAAGATTGCGGATTATATTGAGAACCGGTAAGAAGTCAGGATATTTTGTGATTAGTTTTGATTCTTTGTGAAATATTTTGAGACACGGTTGGACAGCAGTGCTGTGCTGTGTTGTAGTACTACCACAGTGTACTTGATCCTTCGAGTCGAATGCACTCGAAGTTGTTGCGCATGTATCGATACCTTCTGCCTATTGTCATTTAACTGTGTATATATTTTTCTCATCACGTCAGCATTCGCTTCAATATATCTTTCATAGTCGCGAACGACTCTTAAGTGATGACTGGCACTGTGATATACTCATTCGTGTCGCAGTGTAATTGTTAACCGGCTCAGACACACGCTGGGTCCTGAGGGAGGAGCTAACTTTGACTCTGCCATTTCTGACAATTCGAGGTTCAAAACACGTGACCACTGTGTCATAGTCGTCGCCGAGGGGGCGGGGCAAGACAACTTCAAGTCTGAAGGTACAGATGCCTCCGGCAATGTCAAATATGGAGATATTGGTGTCCTGCTCAGAGATAGACTCGGCGCGATAATGAAGGAGAAGAAAATCGATGTCACCATCAAGTATATCGATCCTTCCTACACCATCCGATCCGCTCCCACAAACGCCAGTGATTCAGTACGTACAATCTGTATGCAGTTAGATGTCAGTACTACAAATGGGAAGGATTGAGATTGCCTGTGTGACTTGCATCTAACACTTGCGTCTAGCTCCTGTTCCGGAAAACTTATGGCTGAAGACATCACCTAGATTATCAAAACTACATGAGCCTCGCGTTATAACAAGCTCGTTGTTGACAAAATACAACTTGCGCCCTTTGACGTTGTGTTCAAATATAGATGCGCCTTTTACATTGTCGTACATGAATTCGAATTTCTAGAACATACATAAATGTCCACTTGCGGAATGTGATACGTTTTTTTTCCACACTGATCGCCATTGGTTTGTGTCCAGTCAAACAGACGGGATACCGTGCCAGTTAACTCATGACCAGCCCTGCACTCAACAGGTGTTCTGCGTTCAGCTGGCGCAGATGGCCACTCATGCCGCCATGGCCGGTAAGACCGGAGCCATCGTGGGCATGCTCAACGCTCAGTTCGTGCACATCCCCATCGCCAAAAGTGTCTCGGAGCGCAAGAAAGTCGGTGAGTGTACTTCAACAATGTAACAATCGATTTGTTGCTCAACCCGCAGTACTTGCGCAGTACTTGCACGTGGGCAAGTTAAGAGTGGTTGGAAATGACTTGAGTGAATGAATTTGGTTTGTGTTTACACGTCAGTGTATTGCTGTGTTGTCAGTACACATTAGTAGCAATTGAGCACGGTTCATTACAGCCTTTATAAGTCATATGCACGATATTGATTGCCTATCCGATCATTCTCAAACCATCGATTTATGTGTGCACCGGCATGCGGCTGTTCTCAACCCATATTGTATGGGCGCGTACTCTGCTCATGTGAATTGGTTTACCCGTGTTTTGCAATTGCATGTGCTAGATTACAAATTCAGGGTAGTTTCTATGCTGTTAATAATACTGGCTAAAGCCCGGAGTGGTTCCCATGCATGACAGAGAGAAGCCTGTATCGTTTTTTATCCGGAGATCCGAGATTTGAACTCGCTGTCAATCATGGAACATAATTCATCCTTTTATTTTTACTACACAGATGTCAAGGGAAATACCTTCCAAAGTTTGCTGGACAACACTGGGCAACCGGGTTCTTGGGAGTAGAGAATGCCCATTACTCAGCATCTCTAGCGCGCAAGCGTGATGTAATGGAGGCGGGACCGAACAACGAGTTCGCTTTCAGTCTTTCTGCTATGTATAAATAAGTTAATTCAGGTACAAGCGGAAAACCATAAACCAAATAAACGGTCAATCTGCATTACCTTGTTGACTCAATTGCTGTTTATTGACCTTTTAGCGAATATGTCAAAGGAGTCAAGCGGGTATGCGGGATAAGTTTTCCAGTTCGCTAAAGCACATTGTTCGCACGCCAGCAGTTAGGAATAGCAACTACTATCCCAATTTGTACTTCGAGTTGGTTGCGACCTAATAAGGGTCCCCGAGTTTTGCCGTTCAGGGCCCAGTGGACTGTGCGGTGTGTGACAAACTGATATTTCCGATTGATCGATATTGGCAACAACCGGACCATAACTCAATATTGGGAGACTAAGACATCGTCCTGAGCGCCGTTGTATGACACACAGTGATACTTACTAACAGGCCGACACGCTGCGATGAGCATTGCACCGACTTCACAACAGGCTCGATAGAGATGTATACGAAGGTAAACACTTTATGAGTGCAGCAAGCCGAAGGCCCCCCCATACATCAAGTATGACTACTGACGCGCATCGGAGTGTACCACTGCAGACGGTACCAGGTGCGATATCGTAACTGTCTCGGTGCAGTTGTATGTCACCTACCACGATTGCTATGAAGATTATGTGAACCCGTATGATAGACCATACCGTCCGAGTATTATGCACACTTCTTTTCAACGAAGCTCTGTGATGAGAAGTGAAATATGATTTTAGTTAGCGGCGTTTCCCTGGTTAGACTTCCTAAAATCAGATGCAGTTGGGTGTGCATCCCAACCTTCGAAAAAACAAGTGATGTGCTTTAGGGATGTGGTACGGATGCTTGACACCACATGCCCACACGATGTATCTGAATCTTAGTCCCTGTAAACAGCTGTACCCGCCATTTTTTGCGCTTACACACAACTTAGTCCGAAGGACTGCACCGAATCAGACTAAGCCACAGCAGCGCATAGAAAACCGAATAAACGAAACGAAGTAACTGGGTGAATAACAAGCGGTGACTAGACTATACGAATTTGCCATACCGCGCCAGATTCCTCATATTCCTGTTTGCTGATCCACATCTGCTGGAAGGCACCCAGACAACCCAGAATAGAGCCCCCAATCCACGAACTATGCCTGCGTTCTTGCCCCGAGGCGTACACAAGCCTCACCTTCATACCCACTGGGATCTTACTGGTCAGGTCGTTCTGGAGCCTATCCACAAACCCGGGTATAAGCGTCGTACCCCCGGAGATGACAATGTTGTTGTAGAGGTGCGAGTGGATATCCGGATCGCATTTGCTGACCGAATGCATAATCAGCTCTGAGATGCCCATGTTGTATTTCGGGTCGTTCAAGTCGAGTAGGTTTCTTCCGGTCTGTAGATAGATGCGCCCCATTTGGCAGAGCAAAATCAGAATGTATATACCCGTTGCACAACAAAGGACATACCTTAGTTAAGAATGCTTCTGTTGAGTGCTGGAAAATGTACCACCACAACTATTGGCTGGTACTTTGCATAGTAAAGTTGAGATTTGAAGAAGTGAAGATTTGACGCGAATAGCTACGTTTTGCAAGGCTAGAGTTACAGAGCACTTACGGAGGGTAACGATGCCGCCGGGTTAAAAAGTACCCCGGGTGTCTGGAACCTCGTCGCACCAATGTTAGCCTCGTATCCAGTTGAGAACTCGTATGGCACAGTCGGGATATGCGTCAATGACCTGCAGAGTGGGAGTGTATGGGTGGGTGGGGTGGGTGTAAGCGTATGCGGGGGAATATGCAAGGAAAAGCGCATACCAACAGGCCTACACGCATTCCTAAAACTCATGCCACAAGACAGGGATCGATTGCAAAAGTCAATTGATCGATTAAAAGTGTGGGCAACATTGACACACTGTGGTTTAGAATTCAGCCGGACAGTAATGACATACCCGTCGTCGAACTGTGTGTCTGACACTTGCGAAATGTGCTCGTGGAAGTCGCGCAATTCCTCCCGAATTTTGTAATTCTTGTAGCTGAAAACGGTGACATGGATGCTGGTGAGCAAATAAACTGGTGGAAACTACCAAGAAGTATATTAAAATCAACAAGGACTACGGCGGCAAACAAAGTACGCTCTCACCTCGTGGTCGGGTTTATTGCTTTCGTCTTGTAATTGAATAATTTTGTCTTAGGATCCTCCTTCGTCCCCTATTGGTAAGAACAAAGGCGGGAGATAGTACATTATACACGCTAACGGCAGTGATCAACTAAAATAGAGCACTTGAACTCACACAGATACCCGACAGAATACGCCCTACGTGAAGAACAAATAGACGACTCTCGTTAAAGCGTTTATCAGGGTGGCGCACACCCACAGAAATATTGTTACATTAACCCGATATAATTCGTTGCCACTCGTACGTCATATATATCTGTAGTAGCGTTCACTTAGCTTAAGTGCGTGCAATTAAAGGTTGCGAAGAAGTGTATCGGAGTGCGATGATGTGAAGAACAATATTCCATGTACACGTGCATCGTGCGTCCCCATTAACTATATCACTATAATAGATCCAAAAAATAATACACATATATATATATATATATATATATATATATACGTATATACACACACATATATATATA